AGAGTTTTAGCATATTAGCGTGAAATATTTTGAACCTACCTTCCATGTCGATAACGTAGTCCATCTCGCCTTTCACGTGTTTGACTTCATATGGTCCCTTCCATTGGACTAGCAGTTTGCTTCTGTTCGTAGGGAGAAGCACCAGCACTTGATCACCTACGTTAAACCTCTTGCTCCGCGTTCCCTGTTGTAATACTTCGCGTGTCTATGACTCGATTTCGCGAGTTCGTCTTACGTCATTTGGCATGTACTCTCTAATCTTTCGCGTAGATCTACAACGTATTGGTAAGTGGTCTTGACCTCTTCGTTCGAGACTTCGCCCGACCACAATTCGCGTAAGATACGCATAGGACCACGAACTGTCCTACCGTACAACAGTTCGAACGGGGAGAAATCCAAACTTTCGTGAGGGACCTCACGATACGCGAGCAGGATTGCGTTTAGATACCTATCCCAATCTTTAGGTCTTTCTGCGCACATCCGTCGCAATATTTGCTTTAACGTCCCGTTGAATTTCTCTACTAACCCGTTGCACATATGATGCTATGGTGTTGTGCGAACTGTTTAAGGGACAAAAACCTACTTATTTCCGGCATGAGATCTGAGGTGAATTGCGCCCCACAGTCTGTAAGAATCTCTTCGGGCACTCCTACCCTGCTAAACATGTCTACGAGCGCTTCGTCTAATCGTTCTGTCTCAATTGAGGGTAAGGCTATGGCTTCAGGATACCTAGTCGTGTAATCTACCAGTGTTAGGGTGTAACGGTTTTTACGTTCCGTGTGCGGAAATATGGGCCTTACGATGTCAACAGCTACTCTTTTAAATGGAGTATCTATCAGTGGCATCTGACCTAACGGTATTCTAGTTATCTTGCCTTTAGGGACAGTCTTTTGGCAAACATCGCACGAACGGCAAAACCGCGCTACTTCGCTATTGACCCCAGGCCAATAGAATTCCCTGGTCACCCTATTCGATGTTTTCCTTACACCTAAATGACCGGCCATACTTGATTTGTGCGCGACCTTGGGTACATGCACCCTAAATTTCTTGGGAACGACTAATTGCTGATATTTCCTACCATCAGGAGTAGTATACTCTCTATTCATGGAGCCTTTACGCTTTAGAAACCTAGAGGACCCCCCGTTCTTGCACTTTCTCACGCTACCCGACAATATTTTCTCCCCGATCGTGTGTAAAGTCTCTTCTCGTTCTTGCTCGTTTATAAATTCGTCGCGGAAGATATCAGTAATGGCGTCAGGTACTTTCATTTTCCGTAGAGGTTTGTGTTTGTGCTGGGTGGAGCAGTTTGTGCCGTGTGCAGCTGTCTGTACTGTGAGGATGTATGCTGTGTTGTGCTCCTGTGTCGTGCCATACAGCAGTGTATAGCTACGTGTGCAGTGTTGAGGGGTGCTGTGCTTGTGTATTCGAGGGCTTCGTGTATTTCAACGTTGCTAGTCGGGTTGAGGTTGATCATGCATGGCGGACCAACGTGGTGGACGCTGATAATCTAACCCAGGAATCAATGGTGGTCGGTGACTACAAATCTTTGCTTAGAATCAGGGAGTGTCTACATGGCTCCAGATACATAATATTTTAGTCGTGGGCTAATGCAGATTTTTTTGTAATATCCAGTGTTTTTCCACTTTGCTAGTTTGATCGAAATCTCATTTGTTTGTAGAACTATCAAGACGTTGTTATGAACGAACCATTATTCGTTTTACTAGTATGAGTAAAACTTGCAATTCGTTATTTTTGAACGAACAATCATACTTTAGCCATTATATCAATTCGCAACCTTGTACGTGCCTCTCACAAGAATAGTTTGTATTAATTTATGCTCAAGTGGGTATGCTTTCAGGGACAGGATATTTCTATACCCTAACGGACGAGTTCGCCATAATTCTAATTTTTGTTTAATATTGTCCGTTTAACTATGCATCAATTTTAACTCGAAAACTTTGAGAAAAGTATATCAAATAATTATGAAAAGATTAAATTTTGGACCATTAAATCGTACAATCAAACTTTGGACCATTAAATTATAGCTTTCTAAAAAATCAATGTCCGATGTTTACTCTGTTCTACGGCTGATAGGGTTGGACAAGAATATACATTAGGTCAATTACACTCCAAATTAATGGACACAGTTACATGAGTCAACTTTACGAAACGTACAAATTGCGTGATGCTCTGCCTTTTAAATCGAATCAATGTATACATTTCCTCAATAAGAAGTTCCAAATTTGTTAGTACAGACTGTTATAACACATTAAATTAAAACCACAGAAGGCACATACAGACAGTGAGTTTGTTCATTTGAGTTTCATTTCGTTCCCATATGATCTGCTCAGTCTCCATCTTGACATCTAACAAACCTTGTACAGTTCGTAAAAATAAATGTTTTACACAAAATACACACTATTATGGGATACACTTCATTCATGTGAGTGTGTATGTGTGTGCGTGTGCGTGTGTAGTGATGGTGATGATGATGTGAATGAGGTTAACAAAAATTCTTACACCAAAACTCATCCCTTTCTTCATCACAGTCGCCGTTTTATTGAACGATTGTCCGGTTTTGGGATCACGGATTAGAATCGTTACAACAGCTAAAATATAAAAATCAAAGATGGAAGTATAACCAAATATATCATTCAAACTTGTATTTCTTTATTAACAATTGTTAACAGCAAACAGTTATTTGACTTGCTTGAAAGTTACAAGGAGATTTACCACACCATCAGATAAACTCGTCAAACATACGTTAGTTCTTTTCGTTAAAACAGTCACAATTTTATCCACGGCAACAAACGTGGGTTTGGGGTTCGGGACTTTGAGAGCCATGATGGGGGGTGGGTTGGCGTGAGGTTCCTACTCACAGAATAGCAGTAAACACTCTGATTCTAAACTACATCACTATATAAGACATATACAAGTCAGCCGAGATAACGGTAACCCGTCCCGCTGCCTGACAGGCCTCACAAGAATTTTGTCACTTTACTAAACAATAATTATCTATAAACAACCTATATATATATATATATATATATATATATATATATATATATATATATATATATATATATATATATATATATATATATATATATATATATATATATATATATATATATATATAGTAATGTAATAATATTGTATACATATTCACTATTAGCAATACATATTTTCTAAACATTGATCATTTTTGGCGCCATGCTATACAACAAATCGTAATTTTCAAAATAGTTTATTGCCTCTGCGTCTTACTTGGCTCTCACCAGCTATTATGTACTTTTGAGAGAGTAATGTATGTAAGGTGAAGTTGTTTGCATTTTAAACACGCACAGTGGAGAGAATGTTGGCATACCTATTAGCTACTTTCATATAATGTGGCTGAAATTTCTTTTGATATTGTACTTTTGGAAATTTTAAATGATCTTAGGACACTGCTAACTAAAATGGCTGCTCCCTTGTGCTCCAGAAATCAACCTGAATTTGTTTAAAGTACACTATTCTTGGCAGCTATTAAAATATGGAGAATTAATTTTGCCAAACTATACAATTCCAGCTTCTAAAAGTGCAATGAATAAATTACCAAATACATAAAATGTGAAAAAAAGTTATCGGCTCTATTTTTTACAATTTACCTCTGAAGTTCGAGAAGTGAAAATGAGCAAGAAGAGCTAGCACTTTTTTGAAAGATGCACATCTGGAGTAAGGCCAAGCAGTATACTCTGTAACCCATATTTCACCCATCAATCATACAACAAAATAAAGGGAAATAAAGGTTATTCGAATAATATCTAAGATATACAAAGTCTCTTAAATAGCCAGTATAACTAGTGAGGGAATCCGGGGAAACTCTTTCTTTAAAATTCTATCCCTATGCTAAATACGAAACTGTAGAGCACCACCTTATCATTCGTTGGTTAACCAACTAATTACCGGAAATGGAGAAAACACCAGAACGAGGCTTAACCACGCAACCTGGTCATTTACGTTGTATACACAAAATGATCTCATGAAAAAAGAACGACTAATTCTGGAGATTTAAATGTATATAACAGGTATATATGATATCTTTGTGAACGAAACGTATGACTTTAATCCTTTTATCCTACACGACCACTAGCTGAGTCATATATACGCCTCTTACGGCCTGTGTATCTTTATTTAAAAATCATTACACGTTCATATCACACTTTGTGCAGAATATATTGATTTCCTAGCAGTCTGGCATGGTCTGCTATCAAATTATTACCAAATCCTCCAAAGTGTCAAATATGTAAAGCCATTTCCAGAAATTATTTAGATTGTACAAATTTAAAGAATAACTAGTTCGTAAATATGGTAGTTAATCATAGAATCAAAAGTAAATGTTTAAGAAAAAATATGGACACATAAACGGCCAGCGAAAAGAACAATATAATTCATACTATTTACCGTGTAGCACTAAACTCAGTTATTATAGTTAGGTACAATACGCTTTTGAGGAGAATTATTATTTTAAATCGATCAACAGATACTCAAGGGCATCCAAAATAGTACTAACATTAGCAATTTCCCCGAGTCAGCGTATGGGTGGTTACCAAACAGAAAAGGGAAGATAACAAGCAAAATAAAATATTTAAATCCTTAAATGGGTATATGCGTTACCTAATCAACTTGGAATTTGTTTTATGCTGAGGAAAATTACCTAAATCAAGAATGGCTTACTTTATGAGGTAGAAAATAATGGAGATGCAAGAAAAAATGCGTGATTATGTGATGATGATTTTGAACGCAGCTTTAACAATTTTTCAGTCATATCGCTTTCATGTCTTCAGTATGGCAGATTATAGTGATGTCTAGCACTGGGGAATCATGCCGCAGACATGTAGCATGATGTCCTCACCCAGTCACATTATCCTGACACCAGCCCGACCAGTCCTAACACTAACCTCTTAATGCTGAGCGGCAAGCGAGGCAGCTGTTAGTACCTTTTTTATGAAGTCTTTGGTATGACTCGACCGGGGATCGAACCCACGAACTCCCGCATCCGAGGCGAAAGATCTAACCACTTGGCCACAGAAACAGTTGGAAAAAAATGGAATAGAACATTTATACAAATTTATAAAATTTGTGGAAGGTGAGGTGGCAAAAGTTTTCATTGAAACTGGAGTTTTAGCTGCTACTTCAGAAGATTAAGTTGTTAATAACCTTGATCGAGTCATACCTCTAACTTTCATATGGATTTAGTGAATTTCGCAGGGTTTAGTTGCACATTTTTTAAAGAAATAATTATATCCAATACAGCTTTAAAACATGATGAGAGTGTAATCTGTACTACAACTAAGTTGAATAATAATGCCATGAGAGTGTAATCTGTACTACAAGTAAGTTGAATAATATTGCCATGAGAGTGTAACCTGTACCACAACTAAGTTGAATAATATGGCCATGAGAGTGTAACCTGTACCACAACTAAGTTAAATAATATTGCCATGAGAGTGTAACCTGTACCACAACTAAGTTGAATAATATTGCCATGAGAGTGTAACCTGTACCACAACTAAGTTGAATAATATTGCCATGAGAGTGTAATATGTACCACAACTAAGTTGAATAATAATGCCATGAGAGTGTAATCTGTACTACAACTAAGTTGAATAATATTGCCATGAGAGTGTAATCTGTACTACAACTAAGTTGAATAATATTGCCATGAGAGTGTAACCTGTACCACAACTAAGTTGAATAATATTGCCATGAGAGTGTAACCTGTACCACAACTAAGTTGAATAATATTGCCATGAGAGTGTAATATGTACCACAACTTAGTTGAATAATAATGCCATGAGAGTGTAATCTGTACCACAACTAAGTTGAATAATATTGCCATGAGAGTGTAATCTGTACTACAACTAAGTTGAATAATATTGCCATGAGAGTGTAATATGTACCACAACTAAGTTGAATAATAATGCCATGATAGTGTAATATGTACCACAACTAAGTTGAATAATATTGCCATGAGAGTGTAATATGTACCACAACTAAGTTGAATAATATTGCCATGAGAGTGTAATCTGTACTACAACTAAGTTGAATAATATTGTCATGAGAGTGTAATCTGTACCACAACTAAGTTGAATAATAATGCCATGAGAGTGTAATCTGTACTACAACTAAGTTGAATAATATTGCCATGAGAGTGTAATCTGTACCACAACTAAGTTGAATAATATTGTCATGAGAGTGTAATCTGTACCACAACTAAGTTGAATAATAATGCCATGAGAGTGTAATCTGTACCACAACTAAGTTGAATAATATTGTCATGAGAGTGTAATCTGTACCACAACTAAGTTGAATAATAATGCCATGAGAGTGTAATCTGTACCACAACTAAGTTGAATAATAATGCCATGAGAGTGTAATCTGTACTACAACTAAGTTGAATAATATTGCCATGAGAGTGTAATCTGTACCACAACTAAGTTGAATAATAATGCCATGAGAGTGTAATCTGTACTACAACTAAGTTGAATAATATTGCCATGAGAGTGTAGTCTGTACCACAACTAAGTTGAATAATAATGCCATGAGAGTGTAATCTGTACTACAACTAAGTTGAATAATATTGTCATGAGAGTGTAATCTGTACCACAACTAAGTTGAATAACATTGTCATTGGAGAGTAATCTGTACCACAACTAAGTTGAATAATATTGTCATGAGAGTGTAATCTGTACCACAACTAAGTTGAATAATAATGCCATGAGAGTGTAATCTGTACTATAACTAAGTTGATAATAATGCCATGAGAGTGTAATCTGTACCACAACTAAGTTGAATAATAATGCCATGAGAGTGTAATCTGTATTACAACTAAGTTGAATAATATTGCCATGAGAGTGTAATATGTACCACAACTAAGTTGAATAATAATGCCATGAGAGTGTAATCTGTACTACAACTAAGTTGAATAATATTGTCATGAGAGTGTAATCTGTACCACAACTAAGTTGAATAACATTGTCATTGGAGAGTAATCTGTACCACAACTAAGTTGAATAATATTGTCATGAGAGTGTAATCTGTACCACAACTAAGTTGAATAATAATGCCATGAGAGTGTAATCTGTACTATAACTAAGTTGATAATAATGCCATGAGAGTGTAATCTGTACCACAATTAAGTTGAATAATAATGCCATGAGAGTGTAATCTGTATTACAACTAAGTTGAATAATATTGCCATGAGAGTGTAATATGTACCACAACTAAGTTGAATAATAATGCCATGAGAGTGTAATCTGTACCACAACTAAGTTGAATAATATTGCCATGAGAGTGTAATATGTACCACAACTAAGTTGAATAATAATGCCATGAGAGTGTAATCTGTACCACAACTAAGTTGAATAATATTGCCAGAAGAGTGTAATCTGTACCACAACTAAGTTGAATAATAATGCCATGAGAGTGTAATCTGTATTACAACTAAGTTGAATAATAATGCCATGAGAGTGTAATCTGTACTACAACTAAGTTGAATAATATTGCCATGAGAGTGTAATATGTACCACAACTAAGTTGAATAATAATGCCATGAGAGTGTAATCTGTACCACAACTAAGTTGAATAATATTGCCATGAGAGTGTAATATGTACCACAACTAAGTTGAATAATAATGCCATGAGAGTGTAATCTGTACCACAACTAAGTTGAATAATAATGCCATGAGAGTGTTATCTGTATTACAACTAAGTTGAATAATATTGCCATGAGAGTGTAATCTGTACTATAACTAAGTTGAATAATAATGCCATGAGAGTGTAATCTGTATTACAACTAAGTTGAATAATATTGCCATGAGAGTGTAATCTGTACCACAACTAAGTTGAATAATATTGCCATAAGATTGTAATCTGTACCACAACTAATTTGAATAATATTGCCAAAATTTTCAGTATAGCAGCATTAACGTGAATACAAATAAGGGTTAGAGCGTCAGACGTTTTTAATTTTGCTAGAATGTAACAGCAATGATACGCCAAGAGTACTTCAGTAGGACTACTTATATATGGTTGCTTCACAATGATTCTAATTACCTATATGTCGAAAAGAAGTGACCTAACGAAGAAAAAGTATGACTCATTACTATGGACAGATCGCTTTTAAAGAAAGATATTTTCAAATTCCACTGATAGCAGATATGATATCAAAAATGCAGAAAAAAAGATTTGTACTTCATCATTAAAATATTTTAAGCAATCAAAAACAATTTGTTTCATTTTAATGGACACAAACAAAACCAAAACCACTTCAATCCTTGAAGGCTTGTATAAACTTGAAATAAACATAAAGCAGGTCAAAGATTGATTTATTGTTAGTTGAAAATGAAGAAAGCATATAATGTGTGCGCGTGCATCTGTGTGTGTGGTTTGGAATTTTAACTTGGTTTAAAAAAAAAATTCTGTCATATCTCTACGCTGTCCACAGTGTCAGTTTATTGTGATGTCTAGCACTGGGGCATCATGTCCCATACGTGCAGTAACATGTTTCACACAGTCCCATTATCCTGACATCAGGCCCACCAGTCATAACACTAACCTCTTATTGTTGAGCGCCTAGGAAAACTTGTATTAGTATCATTTTATTAGTCCTTGACATGACTCGGGAGTTTGTCGAACCCGCGAACTCCCGTGCCTAAAGCGGACACTAACCACTAGACCACAGGAGCAGTAGCCAAAGCACAGATACTGAAAGTCAGTAAGATAACTCTAAGTTTATATGATCCAAATAATACTCATATGACTAAGTTGCTAGTTTAAGCGTTTGAGCTCTATTAATACTTCTATAAACACTCCGGTGGCCTAATGGTTAAAGCGTCCGTGGGTTCGATCACCTGTAGAGTAATAACAAAGACTTACAAAAGTGGTACTAACAACTGGCTCGCTTGACGCTCAGCGTTAAGAGGTTAGTGATAAGACTGGTCAGCCTGGTGACAGGATAATGTGACTGGGTGGGACACCATGATACGTGTCTGTGGCGTGATGCGGCAGTGCTAGACATCATTATAAAATGCCACCCTGCAGACATCATAGCCGTATGACTGAAAAATTGGTAAAGTTATGTTAAAAATGGTAATCACATCACATAACATTCTTCTATAAAGTCATATATCAGAACAGTGTATTGATTTGCAAACCCTAGAAACTTGCAAATATTCTTTGATCAACTAAACAATATAAATAATTACTGAAACGGTATATACTGTGCTCTCAGATTCCTCACCTAATAATGTCTAATTCACATTGACGTCATTTAGTGGGATGATAATAGTCTTCATACAAAATTACAAAAATATATGAGGTACTATAAATAGAATTAATATTAGAATTGAAGATGACTATTTAAATGAATTTATTTTCATAATATACCAATTACAATAATATTCAGAATATGAGGAGCACATAAATTTTTCGGATTATAATTTGTTTTGTTTTCAAATAAATAGCAAAATAGATATCTTTAAGAGATTAGTGATAGTAGTCTTGATTTAATATTAGTATTAATTAGTTTTAATCTTAATTAGTATTAGTGTTAATTAATATTAGTATTAATTAGTTTTAGTCTTAATTAGTGTTACTTAGCATTAGTTTTAATTAATATTTTTATTAATTAGTATTAGTCATAATTAGCATTAGGTTTTCAACCTTTGAATAAAACGATAAAGATGAGAAAGATGATTCACTAGTCAAACACCATAGTATGATTTTGTATTACGAAGCTATCAGATATAACATAAAATACATCTAATTCTAAATATGTAAACCTTTCGATGATAACTTGAATTCTAAAAAAATACATCTAATTATAAATATGTAAACCTTTCGATGATAACTTAAATTCTAAAAAAATAAATTACATCTAATTCTAAATAAGTAAACCTTGCGATGATAACTTGAATTATAAAAAGAAGATAAATTACATCTAATTCTAAATATTTAAACCTTTAGATGATAACTTGAATGATATAAAAACATGAACAAATGAAGTAAATAATAAATGAGAACCAAATTATCA